CACACACACACACACACACACACACACACACGCACACACACACACACACACATACACACACACACACACATACACACACACACACAAACCATAACAGTAAGAAAAAGAATGAATATAACAGACAAATAAATGAAGACACACACACACGTTCACGCAGACATTTCGCAAAAACGTCACTGATTAAGTTTCCTTAATCTTACGAGATCAGATTAAAGAAGCGAAAATATCTTATCCACACATGGCTGTATAACTCCCCCCCCCCTCTCTCTCTCCTTCCTGCCCACCTCTCTTTCTCTCTTTCTTTCTCTGACTGTCTGTCTGATTGTCTCTCTGTCAGTCAATCTGTCTGTTTGTCTGTCTTTCTGTCTATCGGTCTGTCTGTCTGTCTTTCTCTCTTTCTTTCTTTCTCTCTCTATCTATCGATCTATTTATCTTTTTATTTATCTATCTCTTCCTATCTCCCTCTCTCCCCGACCGTCTATTTGTCTATATGTGTGTCTGTTTATCTGTGTCTGTCTCTCTCTCTCTCCCTTCCTCTCATTCTCTCCCTTACTCACTCCCTCCCTTCTCCCCAACCTCCCTCCCTCCCTCCCTCTCTCTCTCTCTCTCTCTCTCTCTCTCTCTCTCTCCTCCTCCCTCCCTCCCTCCCTCCCTCCCTCCCTCCCTCTCTCCCTCCCTCCAAATCTCTCTCCTTCCCTCTCTCTCCTTCCCTCCCTCCCTCCCTCTCTCCCTCCCTCTCTCCCTCTCTCTCTCCCTCCACCCTCCCTCACACTCTCTCTCTCTTCCTCCCTCCCTCCCTCCCTCCCTCCCACTCTCCCTCCCTCCCTCCCTCCTCTTTCCTCTTCCCTCCCTCTCTCCCTCCCTCCCACTCCTTCCCTCCCTCCCTCCCTCCCACTCTCTCTCTCCTCTTCCCTCCCTCCTTCCCTCCCTCCTTCCCACCCTCTCCTTCCCACCCTCCCTCCCACTCTCTCCCTCCCTCCCTCCCATTCTCCCTCCTCTTCCCTCTCTCACCGAGTCTCCAGCAGAAGTACTGTTTATCTCTGTCTGTCTCCCTCCCTCTCTCTCTCCCTCCCTCCTTACCTCCCTCCCACTCTCTCTCCTCTTCCCTCCCTCCCTCCCACTCTTTCTCTCTTCCTCCCTCCCTTCCTCCCACTCTCTCTCCTCTTCCCTCCCTCTCTCCCTCCCTCCCTCCCTCCCTCTCTCCCTCTCTCTCTTTCCTTCCCTCCCTCCCTCCCACTCTCTCTCTCTCCTCTTCCCTCCCTCCCTCCCTCCTCTCCCTCCCTCCCAATCTCTCTCCTTATCTCTATCTCCTTCCCTCCCTCCCTCCCTCCTCTTCCCCCTCTCGCCGAGTCTCCAGCAGAAGTACTGTTTATCTCTATCTGTTTCCCTCCCTCGCTCTCTCCCTCCCTCCTTCCCTCCCTCCCACTCTCTCTCCTCTTCCCTCCCTCCCTCCCACTCTCTCTCTCCTCTTCCCTCCCTCCCTCCTTCCCAACCTCCCATTCTCTCTCCTTCCCTCCCTCCCTCCCACTCTCCCTTCCCTCCCTCCCTCCCTCCCTTCCTCCTTCCTCTTCCCCCTCTTCCCGAGTCTCCAGCAGAAGTACTTAGCTCAAGGACCTATTTCTTCAAAAGTTATGAAGAAAAATAGCGTGAGAGGTCGAGCGTATATCGGCTCTGAGCGGCTGTTAATGTTTGCCATCGATTACATACTGGCACAGGTTCAAAGGGGATTCCTGCTAATACTGGCGCTAACCTATTGCTATTATTATTGTTGTTATTTTTGCTTTAACGATTGTTATTTTTGTTACGAATACTATTATTGTTATTGTTACTATTATTATTATTTATTACTACTAGTATTACTATTACTGTTACTTTCACCATCACTATTATTATTACTATACTATTACTATGACTATTATATCTTCTATTACTATTATAGTTACTATTATCACTACTATAACTATTTACTATTACAGTTACTATTATTATTACTCTAACCATTTACCATTACAATTGTTACTGCTATCGCTAGTGCTAGTATTACTAATGTCACAGCTATTACTGAAATAGTTGTCTCTGCTAATAGTTAGTTATCTCTGTAATCTCGGCTGAATGTACTGCTACAGCCCCCACCCCCCCTGCTATTACTACTATTACGACTACTATCATTGCTGAAGTTACTCGTTCTGTTGATAGTCGCTGTCAGTGGCAGTTGCAGTGGCATCCCCTTCCTCCTGATCATCATCATCGTCATCCTTCTCCTCCTCCTCCACGTCATCACCATCATCCTCTTGTCATTGTCATCGTCATCGTCCTCCTTCTCCTCCTCCTCCTCCTCCTCGTCCTCCACCTCATCACCACCATCATCTTCATCATTATCACAATACCAGCAATATTAACATTATGAACAAACAACAACAATCAAACAACGAAAACAATAACAACAATGTCATTAACAATATCAGAGTTCCATTACAGCCTCAAATTCAACCGGAAATGC